TAGGATCTCGGGCCATTTGCTGCTTTGTGGAATAACTCAAGATTACATCAAGATTTGGGCCTTCTTATCGTAAAAACAAATTTGGACTCCAGGCCCTGCATGACCAGTGCATGTTTCTGTGTAAATAAAAATGTAAAAGAGAAGAAAAGAAAAAGATATAGCTGGCCACATAACCATGATCTTTTCCTGGCGAAGATATTCAAATATGGATAAATATAATCCACAAACCAAACGAGTGGACGCCATTACTGATTAGTGAGATTTTCTTGATAGAATCCTTAGCTTCTCTATCATATCTCTCTGCTTTTCTCTGAAGCCCCATACTTTCCCATAAGTCAATTCTCCTTCATTACTGTTACTCAGCACCTCTTCCCTCTCCCCTGCTATGGCTGCCGTTACTAATTTCATTTCCAAACTACCTTCGTCTCTGTCGACCACCCGTAAAATAACTCCTATTTCCTTCAGCAATTCCTTTTTGTTACCCTTTGTCACCAAACCGAAATCTCTAGCAACGAAACTAGATCTAAACCGAACAAACTTCATAGTAAAGGCTACAGCTGTTCCTGGGACTAAAAAGTCTGCAAGTGATGAGAGAGTACAGAAAGTCCATAGCATAGAAGAATTTGATGAAGCCTTAAAAAAAGCCAAAAACAAGCTTGTTGTGGTAGAATATGCTGCTACTCGGAGTGACGAAAGCAGTAAAATCTACCCTTTTATGGTTAATCTTAGCAAGCAATGCAGCGACGTGGAGTTTCTTCTTGTCATGGGCGATGAATCAGAGAAAACCAGAGAACTTTGCAAAAGAGAGAAGATAGACAACGTTCCACACTTCAGCTTTTATAAAAGCATGGAGAAAATTCATGAAGAAGAAGCGATTGGCCCGGATCAGCTTGTTGGAGATGTGCTGTACTATGGTGATAATCATTCAGCTGTGGTACAGTTGCATTGCAGAGAAGATGTTGAGAAGTTAATCGAAGAACATAAGGTTGATAATAAGCTGCTTGTTCTTGATGTGGGGTTGAAGCATTGTGGACCATGCGTCAAGGTATATCCAACGGTTCTAAAGTTGTCCAGGCAGATGGATTCAGTGGTTTTCGCAAGAATGAACGGTGATGAGAATGATAGCTGCATGCAGTTCTTGAAGGACATGAACGTGATTGAGGTGCCGACATTTTTATTCATCAGAGATGGCAAAATATGTGGAAGGTATGTGGGTTCTGGTAAAGGGGAGCTTATTGGGGAGATCCTTAGATACCAAGGAGTTCGAGTGACTTATTAAAAACAAGGTGACTGTTTCAGCAAAAAAAATTTAGTGAAACGGGTCATATACAGAAATTAATTTGAAGCCTTACGAAATTACATAATAGTAAGTTATGGGGTGGTAAAGGAAAATTTTAATTGTACTCATAGATGAATTGCGGTGGCTGTTGGTATTGTAGAACCAGTTTATCGTATGCTTTGTGATGGATGATTAATATAAAACTTTTACCTGTCTGTTTTATTATGTAGAATCGTTCTACAATTGAGGTGCTACTCTACAAGCAATCTGTGCCTCCCTTAAATACATACGAATGCTTTGAAAGGGCCCAATCGGGTTTTGTTCATTAAAAAAATTGTGAGAAAAAATTATTATTTGGAATGTGAAGACTGAATATGACATCAATATTTGATGTAGGTTTGATTGATTCTTGAACCCTTTTTGTCAAATAAACTTGTGTTGCTCTGCAATGAATTATCCCTTTCCAGTCATAAATTGTAGGCATTGTATTTATGTAAGTCTTTGTCACTGGGTGTGGTTTGAACATGTAAAAAGGTTTTAAATCTAACAAAAACATTTCTAAAAATTATATATAAGTCTGAAATCTTGCAAAAAAATCTCAAATGCAAATCGGTGGTTGACAACCCAGGCCAAATACGGCATGTTTCCGGTGTTGACAACACTCTCCATCACCATTCACCACGAAAACACCCCTCTCAACCTCTCGACCAAAATTCATCTCACCTTACCCTCGTTCGCCTCGCCAATCATCGGCGGCAACTATTGTTGCTGTTGCTCGATTTTTGCAATTTCAGATCATTTCACTTACCGAAAATCGCCTCCATTACCACCTTTAGACTCATCAGCCCTTCCTCTTCAAAACCTCCAAGATCCCAGCCACTAATTGCTCACCGATTGTTGTCCTCAATTGTCGGCAAGCTGCCATACATTTTTGCGATTTTCGATTGTTTCACCCACTGGAAGTCGCCTCTATCGCCCCCTTTAGACTCACTAACCCCTATTCTTCAAAACCTTAACATCTCAACCACCAATTGCTCGTCGATCATCATCCTCCTCTCTAGGGTTTTCCATGAATAGCGAAAAAATTAGTAACTCAGGTCCCAGTTAAAGCAATTCAACCGGCCGGGTTGGGCCTAGCTTTAAAACCTTGATTTTTTGTCGCTGCCATTGTAAACGGTAACTAGTAATCTCGTAAATACAAGAACATTCACAAACATTCCTGATTCAACTCAAATTTAGTACTGAAATCATGTTCATTGTCAACAAAATTTCATACCTACAAAGGGCTAGCTTTTTTCTTTACCAAAAGTCAAGCAAACGATTAATTAATTACCAGGGTTGGATTACAGCATTTGATTAGGCATATGTGATAGAGAAATTGGATGACCATTGAGATAAAGTTGGAGAGTACCATTCACCTTAAAGCATTAATTTCATCCGATAATGTTTATCAAATCAGGTCAGGATAAAGTTATTTTACTGACTAAAGGGGATTCAACGTGCAACTTTTAATTAAATAATAAGCGCGGCCGCGCCTTATTTTCTATCCCCCCTCCAAAAAACTTTGAATTGGTATTGACTCATTGGGATAAATAAATTCATAATTGTACGAGCGCCAGCCGGCTAAAATATGACAGCTTGGATTGATCTTGCAAACAATACCATTTAGGAAAGCAAAGGACTTTGTCTGACAGAGATGCCATTTTAGTTTTTGTTTAAGAGTCATATTCAAATTACTCTGCATACCTAACAAGGAAATTGACAAATTCTCTTTGATTTTGATGGCTTATTAGATCAAGCACTTCATTTGGAAGCAAACCCTAATGGATGATTGAAAACAAAAACGTTGAATATATAACAATTATGTGTTTAAACATTTATGTATGAATATGAACAAGATTTGATACATCATCAAGCAAATTTCAGAATTGATCTACGTATCTCATCACAGATATGTACATAATCAAATCTAAGATAAACAAAACAGAAGAACCCTGTAAAAACCTAATGAAGAATTAATGTACTTCATGAATTTGCTCTGACCATCGTATTCAATTGAAGAGGCCTTGGTGGATTCATTGTTCTTCTCTTCCATAAATTAACTTCTTTCTTGGGCTGCAAAGCCACTCCTCCACCTACAGTTATAGGTGCCGAAAATGGAATGATGTAATCTTCTTCTTCTTCTTGATCACTGTCTCCTCTCTCTTCATCTGAATAATAATTCCGGTGATCGGAATCCAGCGGTGCTATCTGATGAGCCGTCCAATCAAAATCGGAAAAAGCATCACGACCACTCGCAAACCTTTTCATCTGATTCAAAGCGGGTGCTCTATCTGGTAGTTTCTGAATATGTTCATCAGAAACATCAGATTTTCTTGCTGGTTTTACACCACTAAAGAGTCTCATAAACTTTGATGCCTGTTTCTTTACTTCTCGTGGAGAAGATACTGCCGGCTTAGTATCTTTAGGAAGCGAGGCCGTTTTCATATGTTTCATCTTCATCTTGTGATTGGCCTTGTGTTTTTTGATTTGGCCCATGCACGACACTTTCGGCGAAGTGGGTTCCTGGTTTTCTTCAAAGCTTTCATTCTTGGACTTTCTTCGAGCTTCATCAGGAATTATTGATATGATCGGACCGGAGAATCCTTTACCGGCATGAGCTTTGAGCTTGTTTATGTGAATATCTGATCTCTTTTCTCTACCTGGGCTGAAAGGAAGGTTTTGAAAGGTGACTGCAGAAGCTTTTGGTAGAAATTTTAAGATATTGGTTTTGGGTTTAGCATGTTTCTCCATTCTTAAAAATCTCTGAATCTCTTTGCTTTGCTCAACTTATATATACACTTATCCAAGAAAGATGATAAAATGATAAGAAAATTGCAAGGCGTTGGATTTTTGAAAATGTCAAGATCAAGAAGGCAGATGATATGGTCAAAGAAGAAGATTGGTGTGCAGTCGACTGAGCAAGCCCACCTTCTTTACCCACCACCTTTCCTCATTTATTAATACAGCTTGCATTTCTGTCTTCTTGTTACATAATTTAATCTTGCCATCAAAATACACGACTCCGCGGGCTCAATTTTTGAATTATCTAATTATATCCACAACTTATACCTATACTTCGTCAATTTAAGACTTTCATCATTCTTTACACATGGCTTAAGACATTACATTAAACAAAGTTTTGTTTGACCAATCACAAACCCTAATTTTAATCACCGATTTTTTCTATAGTACTTGAAATTGTCACCATTTAATATTTGAGAGTTTCCGCTGATGTTAACCTTTTTGCTATAAAATATGCGATAGACTTGTAATCATGTTGTGCCTTGAATAGTATTAATCTTCGTCTGGTCTGACGGCACTAAATTTGGAGAGCTAATTAATTGAGATGAAATTGTCCACCATATTATTAATTTGGTAATTGATGTTTGCTTCGTTATGGAACACATGAAAGTAAAGCTTGATTTGTTTGGTTTAATTCTCAAACAAGAAAGACATATATCATGTGGCTTTTAAGACTAATCGAGCCAGCCAACACATTTTCCATTAGTTTGTCGCCAAAACAAATTATTGTGTTGTGTGTGCGTGATGTGTGAATATAGGAGATGTGTTATTAGGGGTGGGATGCGGTGGTGGTGACATTGTAGGGTAGGAGGAGATGGGGGGTTGTTGGGCTTTTGAAGGTGTGTGGGTAAAAACCGCTTAGGTTGTGGTCGAATGACAAGACTTTGGATTACCCAGAAATCTTGGGTCCGTTTGGTTTGTTATTTTGGATATGATTTTAAGAATAATATTAGATAGTTGAATAGGGTGAGTATTACGAGGTAAAATTTAAAAATTAACAAAAAAATCCCATAGGTTTACTAATTTAACTAAACACCCCCAATATATAAAAATTTTGTAAAATAACAAAAAGTGCCAGATTCCAACCACCACCACCAGAATCTGGCCGGAAAATGGCGTTACGACGTTAACCAATCGGATCTGGCTGGTCGTGTGTAGATATGGCATTTTCCGGCTAGATCCACTACGGATTTAGTCGGAAAAAGCTAGATCTACGGCCAAATTTGGCCATCGACAGCCGCAAAAGACCAGATTTGGCCATCGACGAATATCAGATTTAGCCGTCAGTGACGGCCAAGATTTGGCCGTCGCTGACAATCAAATCTGGTCTTTTCTGGCTATATCCACTGTGGATCTGACCAGAAAAGGCCAGATCAGCAAATTACCGGTCAGTTCCAGTCGTTTCTACGCCGTTGTGACAGATTCCGGCTACCACCGTAGGTGGTTGCCGGAATCTGGCAACTATGGGTGGGTGGGGGTATTTTTGTTAATTTTTAAACTTTTTTCTAGGGGTGTTTTATTAAATTAATAAACTTAAGGGGTCTAAAAATAATTAAAAATATAATAGTATTTCCTAAATAATTAAACAAACAGGTATTTTGGGAATAGGATAGTGAATAGGGTATGAAATAATAAAACAAACGGACCCTTGTGTTTAAGTCTCATAAAATAATTACTTATCACATTTGTGACTTGGCCCATTGAGTTTGTAGGTTGTTCAATGGACCATTTGACCCATTAGGCTTGTAAGATATTTAATAGACCTCAAAAATTACTTAAGGTGCACGTAAGCTGGTCTGAATACCCCGGTTACCAAAAAATAAAAAAGTGTCTGGTTAAAGTGTTGTTGTTGCCTTCATTACGTTAGTTTTAACGAAAGAATACTAATGATGGGGTCTAAGAGTAATTATTGATACCTTAGGGGTGTTTGAAGAAAACTTCGGGGGGTTTAAGTAATATTCCTGTCCAACTCAACTGCAGCTCTGAAGGTGAAACGACAGAGTTTTCTTCTTACGCCATTTACACTTCCAAGCCTCGATTGATCTCCGTTCAGCCCGAGGTATGTTCATACAACATCATCTTTGTGTATAATGTTTATCTATTCATTTCCAAATGAAACCGTAGTTGTACGAGTTTGTTTGCATATAGTTTTCTTCATGAACATTTGATTTTAGGGTTCAATTGGTTTGCATTTTGGGCACACAGTGAGTTTTTGATCATTTTATATCTG